AAAGTATCTTGTATCACTTTTTATTCATTACTCAGTCTGTTTGAGGTCAGAGCTCTAAACTTGTAACAGGTTTTGCATAATCAAGACCACAATGCTTCCTCTGTGCAGTATTTGCTGAACATGATGACATCGGGCTGCCAATTTCCATGTATGTGTATCTTCTGCTGACGTTGTGTTTCTGAACTGTCTCTTTCAACAAATCTGTGAAGAGCTTACCCATCTGCTGGGTATTTCCTTTGCTGCAGACCACATGCTCAGGCACTTGGTGTGAGAGGACGTCTTATTCCGAAAGAGGGGCAGTTTCTGCCTATGCAAACAGCTCCTTATAGAAAGAAAGAGGAAAAAGCATATGAAGTTCTGTTTGACTTTCTGTAGCCCAGATTGTGGACAGTAAAATTCAGAATCTCTAAGTGACCATTGTGGCTGTCCAAAAAGTAAGTTTTGAACTCAGCTATAGGCAGGATTCAGTGGTGGAGTTCTGCTACAGCAGCATTGGAATGATATGGAATTAGGAAAAAGGTGATGCCTTTATCCACTGTAGTCTTCAAACCAGCCCAGGAGGAAGTTTTCTGGAGCCAATTTTCAGATGATATAAAGGACTGCAGGAGTGAGTGGGTGGAAAGACATTTCTGTTGCAACTGTCAGCCTTGTGGTGGGTTTAGCTTGGCAGTTATTCTAGTAATTAGTGTTGTTACTAAAAGTAATATATTTTGGACAAGAGTCTTGTATGCCTCTTCATTTTCTTAAAATAACTAAACTGTTGCACAGCTGTGGTTTTAAGACCAGTAGCTGTTCTCATTCAAGCACTTTAATAAGGGAAACATGCATTTAAGTCTGTGTTAGTTATTACTCAACTGTCATTTTCATGTTTTTGCAAAACATTTGTCATACTGTAATACTTCTTACAAGACATTTATTTATTTATTTATTTATTTATTACTTCGCTTATATACTGCAATTCTCAGCCTAGTGGTGACTCATTGCGGCAACTCATTTACCTCTTGGGAGGAGAGCAATGGCCAATCTCGATAAAATAGTGAAGAGTAGAGACATCACACTGGCAACAAAGATCCACATAGTTAAAGCAATGGTATTTGCCATAGTAACCTATGGATGTGAGAGGTGACCAAAAGGAAGGCTGAGCGAAGGAACATAGACGCTTTTGGACTGTGGTGTTGGAGGAATATTCTGAGAGTGGATCACAAGATCCAATCAGTCCATACTTCAGGAAATAAAGCCCGACTGCTCACTGGAGGGAAAAATATTAGAGGTAAAGATGAAGTACTTTGACTACATACTGAGAAGACAGGAAAGCTTGGAGAAGACAATGATTCTGGGGAAAATGGAAGGGAAAAGGAATAGGGGCCAATCAAGGGCAAGATGGATGGATGGATGGTATCTTTGAGGTGACTGGGTTGACTCTGAAGGAGCTGGGGGTGGCGATGTCCGACAGGGAGCTCTGGCGTGGGCTGGTCCATGAGGTCATGAAGTGACTGAACAAATAAACAACAAATACTTCTTATCTGTTGCACAGTGGAGCCCCCAGTGGTGCAATGGGTTAAACCCTTGTGCCGGCAAGACTAAATACCGACAGTTCGGAGGTTTGAATCCAGGGAGAGCACAGATGAGCTCCTTCTGTCAGCTCCGGCTCCCCATGCGGGGACATGAGAGAAGCCTCCCACAAGGATGCTAAAACATCAAAACATTTGGGTGTCCCCTGGGCAACATCCTTGCAGATGGCCAATTTTCTCACACCAGAAGTGACTTGCAGTTTCTCAAGTCGCTCCTGACATGCACTATATATATATATATATATATATATATATATATATATATTGCACGATCCAACAAAAAAAATATCTTCGTGTCTTGGTTTTTAGACTTGTTCCTGGGTTATTTGGGGGCACTGATTCAGAAAATTGCTTTGGATAGACTGCATTAGCTCTAATTTCTTATATATATGGTCATCCTGGTTTTCTATGGGCAAGCAGATGGTGACTGGTAGGTGGCATATGTTCTGTATCTCAAAAACCCGAGCTGATAGAAGAAAACTGGTGTCATTTTTGGAATCAGCACGTTATAATATTTTGGAGCATGTAAAATCAGTTGGTGAGTGTGTTAACTGAAAAATGCAAAGCAGAAAGCTGATTGGTTGGGCTACGCCCAAGAAGCTAGCTGAGCCTGGGAGTTTTGACAACAGTTACATGTTTAGGTTTTCAACACAGGAGTTTACCAAGATAGTTTGTGTTTTCTGCTTCTTGGGTGCTGGAAGAAGATCTTTCACATGGACACTTAAGGACCATTTGAATCTATTTCAAAGGACATTATGTGAGTCAATGCAACTGTTCACATGACTGTATATATGTTGCTCTGCATAACAAAGAATAAACACCTTATTTACTGAACATCTGTATAGCATATATTTTCTCTAGCAAGACATTGGTAAAGGACTGGTAAAGACATGAACTATGTTGATTTTCATTCTGCCACAAAATATACCCAGAAACAGGGCTAACATTTGAGACATCAAAATGTGCGTTGGCTAGTTTTATGCTTAGATATTTTTTAAAAACTTGTTAGGGGTAAACAAGGTCATGTCATTAAAATAAATTAAGAACAAACTCATTCAAAATTGCAAGGTATGTCAAACAAAAGTGCACTAATAACAATGGAAACCGTCACAGAATATGATAAGAAAAAAGGACAGATAAATTCATAATTCCATTTGAGGGGGAATTGGCCTATTTTACCTATTTCCATTGAGGTTTCATTCATAGAATTCACACCATCAGCAAAATATTCTATGCTAGCTGTCCCCAAATTAGTAAAATTTTAACCAGGACATCCAATCACTATACATCATACACAGTCCTGCTTTCATCACTGTTGACAGGGTATTAGGAAGGTTCCCGTCAGCTATAACACTTCTCTTGTCATCACTGAAAGGAAGAAGGCAGGATGAGAAATGACATGACAGTAACAGGAATGCCTGTTTTTGTGATGCAGTCTACTCAAAATTCAGAAATGCAAGCAGGGCCTGGTCTCTTTCTGGTCATCTTATCAGTCATCAGCAATAATAGTGACAAAGGATACAGCATGAAGAAAGTACTGATCAGGAAGACAAAGGCTGGCATCTTGGGAGCTAATTACAATGCAATTTGTTGGACTCAGGACATTATAACTGTTTCATATTCTCATGTATGATTGTGATACTATTATATGGAGCCAACATAGTGTAATGATTTAAGTGTTGGACCTAGAACACTGGGAGACCAGGGGTTTGTATCCCCACTGAAACATGAAAACCCATTCTGTAGATTTTGGCAAGTCATGGCCTTAGAAGAAGACAATGGCTCACCTCTCTAAACAAATCTAGCAACAAAAAAAACCCCAATAGGGTTGTCTTATTTCCCATCTACACTGCCATATAATCCAGTTTCTGGATCCAGATTATTTGTTTTGAACTGGATTATATGTCAGTGTAGACTCATATAATCCAGTTCAAAGCAGATAATCTGGATTCTGAAACTGGATGATATGACAGTGTAGACTCAGCCTTAGAGTTTCCATAAGTCTCAAAGGACCTTGAAGTACCCAACAACCACAACACTATTGGAACAACTACAAATTAACCTGAAATCTACTTTAAAAGCCGACCATCAGTCCCTAACGACAGAGGTCTTTGCAACTCGTGAGTGGGGAGCTACAGGATGATGTGACCAGTCCTTTCCCATCAGAGAGCTCTGGTGGAAAAAAAGTCTGGTGATGTCCTCTTGTAGCACTCATCTTATGAGCAGCACAAACCTCCATCACTTGAGATAGTCTGGCTGGCCTTTAATGCAGGTAACAGAGGACAAATAAAAGCATGACATTGTAGCTACTTGTTTGATACAGTATTTCAACCAAAGTTTTGCACAGAGTTTTATATTCTGCTGTTAGTGGTTTGAAACAAATGCCAGGAAGTATTTTCACCTCAGTGGTATTTGGTCTGAGATTTCTTTCCCCAGAAATTTCTGAACCTTGATTCTGAAATAGACCTTAAGAGCATATATGGGGTGAAATTTGTTTGGCTTTCCTTCCCTAATCAAACAACCATATTTGAGACATAGCTCAGTTTATTCTGCAGAAGCATCAGCTTTGTGAGTGAGGCAACTGCATCAAATAGCAATTGTTGTGATGCCAGGGAGGCAACAAGATGTATATTGGTGAGAGAAATTATGCAGTTACTTATATAACTGTTGTTCAAGTATGTATATGCTTATATGTGTACAGACGTTGTTGCTTTCTTTGTGTTTTTTTCCTATTGAAATTTGAATAGAAATGGGGGGGGGGGAGAGGTGTAAATTGCTTGTTTTGTTCTCATATGTAAAAATGAATATGTACTGTGAGGGATTATGAAAAATTTGGGTAGTTTTAAAGGATTTTAAAGAATATGTTTGGGGCATATTTGTGAAAAAGTAGTTTGGATGAAACTTAGTTTATGAGTAAAATCTGACATCATTTGCAGAAAATGGTCTATCTTGCATAAAATACATAGTTTTCCATAAAAAATCATTTTTTTGAAATGCAGACTAACTTCTAAAAAATTGTGAGAAAATTCCCAAATTGTAAACAATGCAATAAAGGTTAACTGTTCAAGATAACTTTCCTTGAGATTGAGAAGAATTTGCAAGTATTCTTTACATCCCTAATTTTGAAATACAGGAATATGATTACTTTACAGCTGACTTAATGTGCCTTATACTTATCTGTAACATTGAGGTATAGTGGAAGACATTCTTATATCAAGTTTTGGAGTAAAATTCAGCAGCCAATCTGGCTGGCTTTCATATGAGGAAAGGGGAAAATACCACTTTGTCTTTTGTCACAGCAGCAAAATGTCTTGATCTGATCCTGTAATGCTATTCTACTGCTATTACTGAAACTTAATTCTTATCCGTTTTTGTATTATATAAAAAGTATTAATTTGTACTTTCATCGTTTCTTTTTCTTTTTCACAGAATGAAGAGACATAACTGGACCTACAATTATCCAATAGGACGAAGATTCTTGCTCTTGTTTTTAATGGTGTGGCTTTTCTTGCTGCTAAAACTTCTCAAAGTTGAGCAACTGCTACTCTCTCACAAAGACATTTACTTGGTAGAGCCTCTTTTAAGCACCTCATCATATGTGAAAAACAAATACACCAATTTTAATGAAGATGGCCAATATGAAATTAACTGTTCTTCCATATACAACCAGGAACCTGTGGAAATTGGGAAGACTTTAGAGATAAAGCAAAAAGAAATTATTGATTTAGATGATGAAGATGTTGTAGCAATGACTAGTGATTGTCAAATGTACCGCACAATTAGAGGATATCACCTTAAGCCCATTTCTCTAGAAGAGAAAACATTTCCATTAGCTTACTCTTTGGTTGTTCACAAAGATGCCATAATGGTGGAAAGGCTGATTCATACGATATATAGCAGCCAGAATGTTTACTGTATTCATTTTGACCAAAAGTCATCTAGCACTTTTAAGCAAGCTTTGGAGAATCTCGCTAACTGTTTCTCCAATGTTTTCATTGCATCCAAATTGGAGGTGGTAGAGTATGCCTATATCTCAAGGCTCCAAGCAGATTTGAACTGCTTGTCTGATTTACTTAAGTCTTCCATTCCATGGAAGTATGTGATCAATTTGTGTGGCCAAGATTTTCCTCTGAGGTCAAACTTTGAACTTGTTTCTGAATTTAAGAGATTAGATGGAAGAAACATGCTGGAGACAGTCAAACCAAGCACAGGGAAAAAGGAACGCTTTACCTATCACTACGAACTCCAGAAAATGCCTTATGAATATACAAAGTTGCCTGTGAAAACCAACGTCTCTAAGGACCCACCACCGCACAATATTGAAGTGTTTGTAGGCAGTGCCTATTTTGTTTTATGCCGCGCTTTTGTAGAGTATGTTCTTGAAAGTCCCATTGCTCGAGATTTTTTTGAATGGTCAAAAGACACTTATTCACCTGATGAACATTTCTGGGCAACCCTTATTCGGGCCCCCGGAGCACCAGGACAGATTTCACAGGAAGCTCAGGATATCACGGATCTTCAGAGCAAAACACGTTTAGTAAAATGGAACTACCTTGAGGACCATCTCTATCCTCCTTGTACTGGAATACACCTTCGCAGCGTATGCATCTATGGGGCTGCGGAGCTCAGGTGGCTTATGAACTCTGGGCACTGGTTTGCCAATAAGTTTGACTCAAAAGTAGATCCAGTTTTAATAAAATGTTTGGCAGAAAAACTTGCAGAACAACAGAAGAACTGGGTTGAATTGTCTTCTGAAAACTTCTTCAAACACAGAACCTCTACAAATACCTCGTAACAATATATTATGTCCATGATTGGACTCTAAAATATTTTTTTTAAAGGAAATGATTGCTGAAATGAGCCATATCAGACACTTCTGTAAGCTACTTTCTGGTCTATTTTGGTGGAATCTAAATTTATTTCTATTGATGCAGCTAGAAGCAAAGCTCTAATAAGTTGTCCCTAATTAGGATCCTTGGAGCAAAGGTGGGAATGAAACTTGGGAATGAAAGACCAAAACAGTTCAATTTATGTTGGCTTAATCCAGTGATATCCAGTCTTATTGAAGGTAATATGTTCTTCTAAATTTGATTGCCTTTTGTCAGCTACATTACCTTACTCCTTGAAAAGTCCATGGAGTCCCTCTATATCTATGGTTCTCAACCTGTAGGTCTCCAGGTGTTTTGGCCTTCAACTCCCAGAAATCCTAACAGCTGGTAAACCGGCTTGGATTTCTGGGAGTTGTAGGCCAAAACACATGGGGACCCACAGGTTGAGAACCACTGCTCCATATTGTCATGCTGAAAGCCAGTGTGGTCCAATGGGCAACCCTTGCTTGGCCATATAATCCCTTTCAGTGAGTCTCGGCGTCAGAGGAAGGCAAGGGTCTTAGAACAACTCTTGCCTTAGAATCACTGTTAATTCAGAAATGATTTGAGGCCACTCAACAACATCAACATATTGACACGCACATGCAGTTTCTTAAGGTTTACTGGGATATTAATTTAAAATTAGCATTTAGATTTTTAAAAAAGAACAAGATAGTTCTGACTATCCAAAAATCATTTGTGCAGAAAGACCATTAGAACAAAGAAGATATTTTCCCCAGTAAAAAATGCTGCAGAGCAATCATACTCTCAACTTACATGTAGCTGAGATGGCAATTTACGCACATTTTAGCTTGTGAGCAGAAGTCTCCATCTGTGCAAAAATCCCATTCAGTTGGATTCACCTCAAATTTTCAAAACCACTGGCTTAACCCATGTAAAGTACCGGTCAGATTTTTCTTACTGTATTGTCGAAGGCTTTCATGGCTGGAGTCAATAGATAGTTTTGAGTTTTCCAGGCTGTATGGCCATTTTCCAGAAGTATTGTCTCCTGATGTTTCACTGCATCTATGACAGGCATCCTCAGAGCTTTTGAGACCTCACAACCTCTGAGGATGCCTGCCATAGATGCAGGCAAAATGTCAAGAGAGAATGCTTTTGGAACATGACCATATAACCTGGAAAACTCACAAGAACCCAGATTTTACTTATATTTTGTGTATTTACAAAACATAAACTGTATTCCCAGTCATCCTATATTTTGAATGGATACAACTGACTCCTATACAAAGCGAGTATAAAAAATAACAAAACTGAATTCTACAAACTGCACTGATAAAAATGAAATATATGTGGGAGGCCATGAATACAATCAGGAACTTGAGTTTTAAAGTTTTATGTCATATGCCTTGGGCAGATTGTTCTATCATTTCTGTTATCATGTGGCCAAATTTAAAAGGGATCTCTCTGGTGCTTACAATTCTTCTGCGCACACCCTACTGCTTTGATCTATATGATGGTTCAAAATATTGCACATCTTACTGCAGTCCTTAACAGTGATCTTCCTGTGGTTTGTAGTCTTTTGAACCAAATTGTTTGTATCAGTGTCTGTATTTTCTGTGCAATAATTATCCCTGAGGGTCTTTTTTCCAAATGTTTTTTGGGATGTCCTTTGTATCTCTTCACTGAGGAAAGAGGGATATGGGTGTTTTCTTTCCAGGTTGCACTGACTTTGGTAGGAATTCAGGTAAAATGCACTTCAGTTTTGCTATTTAAATGCAGTCCTTGCTCCTTGTCGCTGTTGGCGATTTGGTATGCAACATGTATGGGCAACTTTATTCCCCCAGCATCCACTATGGCAGTGGTTCTCAACCTGGGGTCCCCAGATGTTTTTGGCCTTCAACTCCCAGAAATCCTAACAGCTGGTAAACTGGCTGGGATTTCTGGAAGTTGTAGGCAAAAAACATCTGGGGACCCCAGGTTGAGAACCACTGCACTATGGGCTGCATCAGACCTGATAATGCTTCAAAAAGGCTTTGTAAGAATCCAAAGCAGAAGTGGCAAGATGTCAATTTATGGGTTTCTTGGTAGGCCCTGAAGCACCCCCGTTAATAAATCTCCATTTCTAAGGGTGTTTTGCTAGGGAAAAACTATTTTTGATGATTTTTCTCCCTGTGGTTGGGAATGGGGCTTCTGTGATTCCCGTGTAAACAATATTGCAGAATTGTATGAATGGCACTAAAGGCCCTAATGATACAGCAAAAACAACAACAACAACAAAAAACACAGGTTTCCTCAAGCAAAACCCGGCAAACCTTTTAAATGAGTTTAATGATTTCTTTTATTTCTACTTAAACCTTTTCTGTTCTTTCCAGACTTAATGCTTTTCTCCTGTTCCATATGTCTGTGTGCATGACTCACTTCAAAAGGGGGGAAAGCAACAAGCCTAAGTCTGCTTCTTTCTCCTTGTTTTCTTTTTCTCCTCCTTAGAATATGTATTGCACACTATGGAAAGAAAACACTCGTATCCCTCTTTTGTGATTCTTTCTCCAAAGAAACAGATTCACTTTCCCAAGAAAACTACTACTTCTTACACTATGTCTTTATCATTCTTATTATAGAGGTCTGAGATCACATCTAGAAGCAACATAGCCTTAAGGGTGAAGTCTTTACCATGTTTTAAAAGGTCTATCCAATTCTCAAGTTACAAGTTTCGTGCTTTGTGTGATCTCTTTTTTAGTTAAACAAATAATCCACAGGAGATAAGACCTGTAAATGCATGTGCATACTAATAAAAATGTGAACAATCCATATTCCCCAAGCTTTAAAATGCACTAAAGAGATTGCCTGAGGAAAGCACAACATTATATCCCTGCTGAACTGTTTTTATCTTCCAACTTCTTAGATCTTTTTTCTGCACTATGGTTTTTATCTCTGGCTGATTGTCTCATACATTTGGAAACCAAGTCAATATGTGGTGTTTCCAACACTGAATGAGCCCTTCATTTGCTACCTCCACTTTCTGTATGCAGCTAACATTGGTTTAATATGTGACAAAGAGGATTCATAGCAACTTCTCCTTGACATTGAATGGATTGTATAGCATTTATTGTTCTTGTGTGCCTTTAAGTCATTATCAAACCCTGGCAACCTTAACACGGGGTTTTCTTGGTAAAGTTAATTCAGAAGAGGTTTGTCATTGCCTTCTCCTGAGGCTGAGAGAGTGTGACTTGCTTCAGGCCACACATTGTGTTACATGGTCAGAAGGGATTCAGACTCTGACCTCCAGGGTCTTGGCACAGCATTTATATTCAGTTGCTATTGGACAAGTTGGCCATAGGATAGTTGCTGAAAAAACATTTACGTTTTTGGATTAGTTGTATGGGACATGCATAATTCTTATTTTGTGCATATTTGAGTTGTATTTGTTGAGTACAAATATTGTGCTCTATGTTTGATGAACTGAAATTTCATTTGCCTACATATTGAAAGAACAACATTATGTCCCTGCTGAATTGTTTTTATCTTCCAACTTCTTAGACCTTATTTCTGCACTGTGGCACAGCAGGTTAAACCGCTGAGTTGTTGAACTTGGTCAGCGGTTTGAATCCAGGGAGTGGGGTAAGCTCCTTCTGTTAGCCCCAGCTTCTGCTAACCTAGCAGTTCAAAAACATGCAAATGTGAGATCAATAGGTACTGCTTCGGTTAGAAGGTACTGGTGCTCCATGCAGTCATGCCGACCACATGACCTTGGAGGTGTTTAAGAACAACACCAGCTCTTTGGCTTAGAAATGAAAATGAGTACCAACCCCCAGAGTTGGACAAGACTAGACTTAACGTCAGGGGAAATCTTTCCCTTTCCCTTACATATTGAATTGCTGGGTCTTATTTGCTTTCAATAGAATAAGAATTGTTACATAGTCAAGTGTTCAACAAAAATATTACATTAAAAGTGAATTTTATATTGGAAGACAAGCCTATTGTTCTTCAAATATCACTGTGGGCATGTTGTCCTGTTTGTCCTATAGTTTTACATAGCAGTTTTTCTAATGCGTGAATTGGTCCTCTCCTTTTTCCAGGTAGAGTATGGAAGTTATCAAAGTTTAATAAAATGTATAATATTATCAATGAATAATGAGGCAGATTCAGAGGCATGTCACAACAGGCAAAAGTAGGAAGTTTGAGAACCAAATTCAACATGGAAGTCCTTCATTTTGTGGACTGGCAACAATATTTGGGTGTTTTACTTTAGACAAAAAGAGAGGCTATTTACAAGATGATATATGGTGCTGAATAAACATGTTTTCCTCTTGTTTGTATAATACTAAAACTAGGACTTCAGTGAAATTATTTGTCTGGAGTTTGTGGATAGACAAAAGTAAGAACTACTTAGCAAAGGTTGTAACTCATGGAATTTTTCTGTCAGAGGAAGGGCTAATGGTCAGTAGCTTGGACTGTGCCTACAGAAAGGATTGGATCAATTCAGGGAGGATAATTCTGTCCCTGTTTGTAGTCACAATGGGTGTCGGTATACTCTGGAATAAGAAACATCATGCCACGTAATGACAGTTAGTGAGAGCTACAATAGAGGAGTACTGTAACCTGCTTGTGAACTTCTTAGCTGCATCTGTAGGGAAACAGAATCCTGACTGCACTTGACGGGTGAATCATCTGAGCCTGAAGGGCTTTTATATTATTTTCTTTATTGGTTAACATGAGGGGAAACTTTTACAGATGTTGTTTCTGCTACTATGGCTTAGGCATGCTTCACATGAATACCGATCTGGCAGGAGCAAAGTACACTGACAGCTGAGTAGAATGCCTTGCCACTCAACACAATGGGATCGTTGTATACAGCGGCAAAGGCATGCATTCAGGGTCGGGTAGCTTTCCTGCTTCTGTTTCTTTTTCTCTTCCTCCTCCTTCTCCTTCACCAGATTGTAATGCTAAGTGGCAGTAACTTTTTTTTTAAAAAAGAGGAATAATGTAGTAGTGCAGAAGTGCGGGGAGCCTATAATAGTTTATAACCAGCATGTTATGTCTGTATTTCTGAACTGTCCACACTGCAGAAATCTTCATTGTTTGTAAACTTGCTCGGGAGCATATTTAAGAATGGACTACACTGCCTCGCATGATGGTGAACGCTCTGTGGAAGTCGTTAAGCAGAGGTTGGATAGCCACTATTCTATTCCTGAGTGCTTTGGTTGCATATTCCTGCATGGCGGAGGTTCGATCAGGTGTCCTTTGAGCACTGGATTGTGACCACTGAGGTCAGAGTTTGAATACCCACTTGGCCATGGAAAGCCATTGGGTGATGTTGGGCATATCACACTCTCTCAGCCTCAGAGGAAGGCAAAAGCAAATGTCATCAGGACAAGAAAATGGCTCCTCCTTTGGTTCACCATAAGTAATAAATGACTTGAAGGCACATAACAACAATTGAAGTAGGTGCCAACTGGATCAACCTTTCTATCTTCAACCTTGCAGTAGTAATATT